CAGGATGTTGAAGCAGATCATGTTCCTTGAAAAATAAATCCTCAAAGTATTTATTATAAAAACTACTATATTTGCATATGTTTTTTCCTTCTTTTTAAAAAGCAATATTATCTTGTATTTTATATATTATAAGATTATAATATTTATAATACAGATGAGCATCTACTCTGTATTTCTTTATATATTGCTTCCAAAAAGCCAGACTTTATTGTAGAGGTCTTGAGCAATGGTTCTCCACGCTTTCTGAAGGTCTTTTGAACGTGTGCTTTGACTATTTGCTGCTTTTTCCACTCATTTTCAGTCCACTCCTTGTACCTGACCATTTTCACAGGAATATTTTTTGTTTGTTAAACCACTTGAACCTGACTTGAGTCCTTCAAATAAGCACTTAAGGGACAAACCAGTGTTTGTCACACTGTTATTAGCAGCCTGTTCCTATGTCTTCAGTTGAATCTATAAACAACAAGATGATTCCAAAGAGCTATTAGCTGAAAACTTGGCATATGTTGGCATGATGTCCAGTGTGTCCTCAAAGACATTTAGAAGGCATCAGGTTTTTGGTTAAGTTCTTACTTCATTAAAATTTAGGATAACTTGGCCAAACAGAGTGGTTCAAAAAAAGCGGTCCTGGAAAAATATTTTCATTAAGATAGATAAGTACATGTTCCTGCACTTTAATGCTGCTGAGTTTAGATAGTCTCTGTTTAAACTTGGATGTGTGCTGCACCAGAGCTGACTTCTCTCCCTCCTTCTCTCCATCAAACAGGAGAAAGGGTACAGGGTTTCCTCCAGGACACGCTGCGGGGCGGCCCTGCTAAAAGGAGTCCAGAGCTGCCTGCTCCCCTCGGGCTGCTGAGTGCTGAGCTAGTTGAGCTGGGGACGGCCTTTGGGCGAATCGTCCACTTCAACCAAACAGTTTTTGGTCCCTTCTATGCACCCATCCTCAGGAAACTGCTGTTCCAGCCAGTAGGGGCCGAGGCTGGGGAGGACTCGCGCTAAACTGAGGCTGACCCTTTCAGTTTGTAGCTACATTCTTAGGCAATTTAAAGAAACAAAGGCACAGAACCAAAATCCTGTGTTGCCTTATACATATTTACTGCCTTAAAAAACCAAACACGTGAAAGAAATTTTAGTAATTCTGACCCAGGTGAAAGCTATAATTATTATATTTAGCCATTTTAAGATGCTGAATGTGAATGATTTGAGAAATCAGAGCACCAAAGAACATATGATGAGTCTGTAAATAATACTTAAGCTTTAATATGTAGCTCTTCATGTTGAAAAATGTTTATGAGTAACTTACCAAAGACAGCATGCACCTTTTCAATATTTTTATTATTATTATTTTTTTCTTGTTGAATCAAAAATATACTTGTGTTTCTTTCAGTCGTTGACATTGGAGGGGGTATGTGCTACTAAACAAATACCAAAGTGATATATTTTTTCCACCAGCCATTCAAAGACATGAAAACACGTGAGCTTGAAAGAAATTATTGTTCACCTTGTTACATTTTAAGCAATATTTCAGAAAAAAACTGTTACAGGATGCACATACAATGGGATAAGTTAAATCCTAAAGGGGTCTTATTTTAAAATCGGTATTTTTTTTTTTCTTTTTAAAAAATACTAATACGGTTTTTAGTATATTTCCCCCATTACATGTTATTGTAGTGAAGCTTACAAGAGTCCTGTTTTAAATGTATGTACACGCTAACTTTTCAAATGTTTGGAGTGACTGTGCTATAGCTGACTGCCAACAAGCAAAGGAAGTATTCAGAAACCAATTTGTGCCCTTTTATTTGCTTCTG